GCTGATGAAAGGAGATGCAGATAGGTCTCTTGTGATACAATAGTGAATAATCGTTATCAGGACTGACTGTGGGTTGGAAATGTAATGGTAGACGTTTTGTAGCACAGGAGGGGAGTAATAAACCTTGCAGTCTAGGAGCGGAGGTCCCTGGGACCATCAAGGGAGAAGAGTGGAGAGCAGGACCCTACCCAGAAAAGCAGTGATGCCAGAGATGGAGGCAGAGATGATGACATGGAAAGATGGAGCAGCTGGGGGCTTCAGACACAGAGAGGGAAAAGGGCTGTGTGCTGATGACCTGGGGGGCAGGCTTGCAGGGCATACATACCCTTTGGTTGGTTGATGATGCATGGAGGGGACTGTAACCATGGCAATGAAACAATATACAATAGGATGAATGTAAAGCCAATGTTCTCCCATGTAAACTATCACATAATTCACAATAAAACATTTTAAAAAATGAAATGGAATATATAAACATCAATATCTTAAGCATTACTGGGCTGAAATGGAGTTGTCAAGGAGTTCATTTTTCTTGGATCAACTATCAACACTCATGGGAGCAGCAGTCAAGAAATCAAACAACGTATTGCATTAGGCAAATCTGCTGCATAAGACCTTTTTTAAATGTTGAAGAGCAAAGATGTCAGCTTGAGGACTAAGGTGAACCTGACGCAGCCATGGTATTTTCAATAACTTCATATGCATGTGAAAACTGGGCAGTGAATAAGTTAGACCATAGAAGAACTGACGTATTTAAGTTATGGTGTCAGATGAGAATACTGAAAGTGCCATGGGCTGCCAAAAGAACCAACAGATCTGTGTTGGAAGAAGAGCAGCCAGAGTGCTTCTTGGAGGCCAGGATGGCCAAACTTCATCTCTTGTACTTAGGATATACTGTCAGGGGGGACCAGTCGCTGGAGATGGATAATCATGTTTGGTAAGGTGGAGGGTCAGAGATAAAGAGGAAAACCCTCAGCGAGATGTATTGGCAAAGTGGCAGCATCAATGCGCTCAAGCGTGGCAACAATTGTGAGGTTGGCCCAGGACCGGGCAGTGTTTCGTTCTGTTGTGCATAAGGTCACTATGAGTTGGTGGTGACTTGATGACACCTAAGAGCAACAACATATAGAATATGGAGTCCTGGTATGGCGCTGCAGGTTAATATGCTGAACTGCAAGGTCGGTTTGAACTGCAAGATCGGTGGTTCAAGCTCACCAGCTGCTCCTTGGAAACCCTATACAGGGTCACTATGGGTCGGAACAAACTCTAAGGCACTTAAAACAACAATATATGGAATAATCAAAGTAGAGTTTAAAACATCAGTGGAAAGCAGAATTACAGTATGGAATTTTCCCAAAGGCTTGCTGAAGCCTCACTGTGCAACCAAAGACGTGAGGGCAGGAACTTGGCGGGACTGTATAGATTTTCCAGGTCTCGGAAGCTTCCCACCTCTCGCAGGGTACACTCTTACCACTTTTCTTCTGCTCTCAATGAATAGAAAATATTTGAGTTTTTCTTCTCTGACAAGTTCCCACCTTGCAGAGATTCTGGTTTTCTTTTATATGATTTCCATACAAAGGGTTTTGAGTATGGTCTACCTGACAGAAACCCTAAAGGAAAAACCCAGATCATCACACTTATTATGGGTACAAACTGACCACAATACTATCATTCGGACTTCAACACCCAGTTCCCTGCTATTAGAAATTGTTGTTGGTATTAGATGCTGTTGGTTCAGTTCCGACTCATAGCAGCCCTATGTAGAACAGAATAAAACATCCTCACAATCCAGCGTCTTGGATTCTTTGCTCAGCATACTGATTTGAACAAGTGAAAGGATTCAGCCCTGATACCTACCTTTCCTGAGTTTAAATCATGCAGTAGTTTTGTTCAAAGAATTGCCTCTTGGTCCATGCACAAATTCCACATGAGCCTAAGTCAATGTTCGGGAGTTTCCATTCTTCTCAGTGTTAGTCCTAATTTGTTATAATACACACAGCTGACATCTTTGCAGTCAATAAAATGCAGGTGAGCATCTTTCTGGTATTCTCTTCCCGCCACGATCCATCTAAACCAGCAGTGATATCTCTCGTTCCCTGTCCTCTTCTGAATTCAGCTTGAGTTTCTTGCAGCTCCTTGTCAATGTACTGTGGCAACTGTGTCAAGCCACCCCTTGATATCTTCTGTTCAACTCTTCCACTTTATCATTTATTCCATTTGCTTTAGCTACTCTACATTAAAGAGTAAACTTCAGAGTTTCTCCTACATTTATTTTTGACTTTTCTTTCTTTCCTGCCTTTTTTAAGACCTTTTGCTTTAAGAATGGTATCATGTCCTTGATGTTAGTCCAAAGTTGCCTTGTCTTTAATCATGAGTGTTCAATGCATCAAATCTATATGAAATGGTCTCTAAATTCAGAACAGATATACTCAAGGTTGTACTCGGGTTCTTCAGCTTCAACTTGAACTTGCATACAAGCAGCTGATGATCTGTTCTGAAGCCTGGCCCTGGTTTTGTTCTGACTCATTATATTGAGCATCTCCATCATCTGTTTCCACAGATGCAGTCCACTGATGCTGTATTTCATATGGCGAGGTCCATGCATACAGTGGCCACTATCTTGTTGAGAACAGTATTTGCAAGGAAAAAGTCCTTAGTCTTGCAAAATGCTATCATGTGATCTCTGGCACTGTTTTTATTACCAAGGCCGTATTTTCTAACTACTGATCCTTTTTCTGTGTTTCCAACTTTTGCATTCCAGACATCAGTAATTAACAATGCATCTTAATTACATACATTGGTAAAAAATAGTCAATGTCTTCATCTTTGTCATCAGTGATTGGTGAGCAAATGTGAATAACACTTGTATTAGCTATATATGTCTATCCCTGTAGACATATGGATATTGTCCTATTACTGACAACACTGGACTTCAGGATAGAACTTAAAATGTTCTTTTTGTGTTGAAAGTGATACCACACCTCTTCAATTTGACATTTCTGGCACAGCAGACCATTTGATTGCTTAATTCAAAAGAGCTGATACAAATCCATTTCAGCTCAAGAATGTCCAGAGTATTGATCTTCAAGTATTCCTTTCATTTCATTTTGAACAACTTTCAATCTTCTTAGACTGACAATTTGTGCACTCCGTGTTCCTATTAATAACAGGTGAATTGCAGCTGTTCCTTCTCATTTTGAGTCATGCTACATCGACAAATGCAGGTCCCAAATGCTTTCCTCTATCCACGTCATTAAGGTCAACTCTACTCTTCATCAGGCTCATTCTGAGTGTCTTGCAATCTGATTGGCTCACGTGCCAGCACTGTATCAGACAATGGTTTTAACAAGTAGACTTCTAAAGAATGCAAATTTTAAACAGTACACCATTCATATAATCAAACAACCATAATGAATACAATTATTTTCAACATATACTACAAGTTAAGTCTGCTCAGGTACCCAGAACGTTAATTCGGAGACAAATGTTGTTGTTGTTGCTAAGTGCCATCGAGTTGGTTCCAACTCACAGCGACCCTATATAAGGTTTCCATGGAGCAGCTGGTAAGTTTGAACCACTGAGCTTGGGTCCAGTGCTTTAGAAACACGTTCACGTAGATACATGAACTTGTTTTATTTATTAATTAATTTATTTTTTTAAGCCCGATCTTCACAAAATGACAAACCAATTCATCTTCCTTTGTTCGTATGATGGTCAATGAAGGTGGTTTGTTTTGCATCTTATTACAACTGTTATGATACAAGACGTAAATTGTTAGTTGAGTAGAGAGAAAGTGCATTGGTATACATCAGGTTAGATATCCAGTTTTAATAAGTGGCACAAATAATGAAATGTAGAAATAAACAATTAGCAGGAAATAAGGATGCTCGAATGAATAACCTGGACTCCTGGTATGGCGTAGCAGGATCAACACTGGACTGTGAACCACAAGGCTGGTTCCTGTACAGGAGTAGTTACGAGTTGAAATCTATTCAACTTCACTTATCAACAGCAACAACAAAGAATCATCTCAGCATCGACTAAACGGCAACTGATTTGGTTTTGGTTTAATAAATAATCTCATCTTCCAAATCAGGAAGCAGACACCCAGGGATGTTTACTGGCTGACCCAGAGTCAAAAGGCTCATTGGTTACAGAGCCAATCGAAACAGATGCTATCCAAGTTATTATCTATTCCTACAACAAGCATCGGGTGAAACCAGGAACTGTTGATAGTCTTATGTGTACTAACCTGGTGGTTGAGTGGTTCTCTATCAGATACCAGGCAGCTGAAAAATTCTCACTCGTGAAATCAGCACTCATTCCAGGAAACAGCATTTCTAATTCCTTCTGGGGAAATTTACTTCTGAGGAAGAAGAAAAAAAAAAAAAAAGACTTAAACTATATTTCATCTGCTATTATGATAAAAAGGCTAATAGAAATCACAGAATATCTGCTAAAACAAACATAAAAACAAATTGTAATTATACATAATACATTACCACGAACATGTACAGTTTTTATACATATGTAGGATAAGCCTTGGACTTAGAACCACTAGGTCAGCAGTTTGAGTCCACCAGCCGCTGCTCCATGGAGGAAAGATGAGAGTGACAGCCTCAGAAACCCTACACAGGGTCGCTATGAGTCTGAACCGACTAGACAGCACTAACCAACAATAACCTTTAATTCTGCACATGAGCAGGCGTCAACAAGTTTGTAGAAAACAGAGTTAAAAGATAATGGAATTTTTCACAAGCTGTTTGAAGCCTCATCTCAATCTCACAAAATTGGAAAATAGTTAAAATAAAGAAATTGCATCGATATGGATTATGAGACTTAAAGAGGGTTTAAAACATCAGACTGAACTGACAGCTTATGAAATCTATCAAAATATGAAATAATGTCCTGACCAATGGATAAAAATTCAAATCAAGACACGCTGAAATTAAAAAAAAACTAAATCTGTTTATTAGAATATTTCTTGTGAACGGACAAATGAAAGCTTTTTTTTTTTTTAATGTTTTATTGTGAATTGTGTGATAGTCTACATGGGAGAACA